TACTCAAACAGCCCCACTACCCCAAAATCAAACCCAAAATCCCACCGCTTTCAATTCCCAAACACCACACCCCCACTTAAACCAAAATACCAATCCCCAAAATTATCCGCAAAACTATCAAACCGCACAGAATGTCCCAAGCCCTTCCATAGCTGCACCCCTCCCCAAAAGAACCACTTTCCAAGTCCCTGTCCCGACCGAGCATGAGGTGCACGGCTTCGAGTTGGACCATTATGAGGAGCAAGAAAGAGAGTGGAGGGCGAGGGAAGAAGCGAAGGTAGACATAAAGGAGGAGATCAAGAGGGCGATGAGAGAATTGCAATGTACTCAAGACGTCGCCGGGTTAAGCTACGTAGAACTATGCATCCACCCAAACTTGAACCTACCTGAAGGGTTCAAGATCCCGAAGTTTGATACCTTCGGAGGGGTGGGCAACCCCATGGCACACCTAAGAGCATACTGTGACCAACTCGTGGGAGTTGGCAAAGACGAAGCGTTGCTGATGAGGTTGTTCAGCCGAAGCCTATGTGGTGAGGCCCTGGAGTGGTTCACGTCACATGAGACTCGACAGTGGCCCAGTTAGAGCGCACTGGCTAAGGATTTCATCGACAGATTTGCATACAACGTCAAAATAGTCCCTGATCGGTACTCCTTGGAGAAGATGAAGCAGAAGCCCACAGAAAGCTATCGAGAGTTCGCGTACAGGTGGAGGAAAGAGGCAGCGAGGGTGAGGCCTCCAATGACAGAGAAAGAGATTGTAGAGGTGTTCGTGCGGGTGCAGGAGCCCGAGTATTATGACAGAGTCATCTTATTAATCGGCGCCAAGTTCGCCGAGATAGTCAAAGTAGGTGAGACTATCGAAGATGGCCTGAAGTCGGGAAAAATAGCCCGAGTGTTTGCATCACCTGGGTCTTCCGGAATGGTAAGGAAGAAAAAAGAGGAGGTTACACTATCTCACACGGGGGAAGAAAGGCCCCCAGAAACTTACCACGTCCGCAAGGCCGCTCCAACCCTCCATCAAAGCCTCATCAAACCTATTGTCCACACTAAAATCATTCCGGCCACTACAATGCCGCCTCTACTTATCCAGAGGCCCATATTGTGTCGTATCAGAATCCACCCCCGATTCCCCAAAATTTTCCCTCCATATATCTAAACTACCCCCAAGCTTATCAAGTCCCTCCCCATTACCAGAATGTTGCTCCCAGCTGCGCTAATGTACAACCGAGCTATCGAGCACCGTCCCCTGCATATCAAATACAAACCCCAGCATATCAAAGCCCCCATCCAAATTACCAAGCCCCAAGTCCAAACTACCAAACAAATCCCTATCCCAGAGCCCAAGCTCCACGACCAAATGCCCGCAGTTATCAACAAGTCCCTCCCCCTCAACAGGGCGAGTATGATCCCCCTTCGCCCTAGGTCTGAGAAGAAGCCCTCCAGAAGCTTCACCGTGTTGGCTGAAAGCAGAACTAAATTGTTCGAAAGATTATCCGCGGTCGGATACATCCACCCTGTGGGCCCCAAGCCCGTGGATGTCAATTCCTGATTCTACAGACCGGAGCAGAGATGTGCTTATCATTCCAACAGTGTTGGACATGATACAGAAGACTGTATCAATCTCAAGCACAAGATCCAGGACTTGATTGACCAGGAAGTGATCTCCCTTCAGCCTGCAGCGCCAAATATCAACACGAATCCATTGCCAAATCATGGGGGTGGAAATGCCAACATGATAGAAATTGACGAAGACGAGCGTGAAGCCAAGAGAATTACTCTTGTTGTTCAGGAAGACTTGGAAAAGACTATCGCTTCTTTGAGCATCAGGGAAAAGGGAGAGTTTGTCATTATGAACTCCCGTGGGTAATAAGAAGCTTAAAAAATGAAGCCCATTTTTTTGAAATCCCACTATATTAATGCCAATAAAAATCGAAAATGAGAGACCCAAAGTACCTGCAAAGGCTGTTGCCTTGGTGCCCGCAAAGACTCTCACCAAGCCCAAGTTTGTTATTGAAACGGCCGTGGCTCAAGGCATGACCAGATCTGGTAGATGTTACACTCCTGACTAGCTTGCTCTCGGAGGACAAAAGAAAGATCATGCCAAGAGACCGATCAGCGAAGCAGAAGCTGAGGAGTTCTGGAGGAGAATGCAGCCCAAAGACTACTCCATTGTCAAGCACTTAGAGAAGACTCCAGCCCAGATTTCTGTGTGGGCCCTATTGATGAGCTCCTGGTCACACAGACAGGCTTTGATGAAAGCCTTGGATGACACGTATGTGCCCTCAGGTACGAGCAGCGACAATGTAGCTGCTATGATTCACCGAGTCATTCAGGGACACTGCATCAGCTTCTGCAATGATGAATTACCGGCCGAAGGGAGGGCCCACAATAAAGCTCTACACATCACCGTGGTATGCCGCGGAAAGATCGTCAACAGTGTTCTGGTAGACGACGGATCTGGCCTAAACATATGCCCCTTGTCCACGCTGAAGCAGCTGAGGTTTGACCTCGGAAAGTTGGAGAAAAACCATGTCAATGTGAGAGCATTTGATGGTGTGCAGAGAGAGACGTTAGGAGCGATGAACTTAACCATCCAAATGGGCCCCGCAGAATTCGAGGCGAAGTTCTAGGTGTTGGATATCGACACCAGCTATAACCTCCTTCTGGGTAGGCCATTCATTCACACGGCTGGAGCCGTCCCCTCCACTCTCCACCAAATGATGAAGTTAGTGTGGAAAAATGAAGAACTGGTTATTCAGGGCGAAAAGGGCCACTCAGGTAAGCAGGTGCCGATCTTGGACGAAACGCCGCAAAGTTCAGATTTCTACACGGTGGAGTTGGTAAATGCCACTGATGAAAGCTTGGCCCCACAGACTCCCATGCCGGCCGTGTACAGAATGATCGCCACGGTGATGTTGCAAAGCGGATTCGAACCAGGTTTCAGATTGGGAAGGAATGCACAAGGGATTATCGAGCCGGTTCCGGTCCTTGCTACAGGATCAAAGTATTGTTTGGGGTACATCCCCACAGATGATGATGTGAAGATGAAGAGGAAAAAGGATCAAGGGTTGACTAAGCCGATCCCGCATCTCTATCAATCCTTTCCAGTCCGGAAACATGCCAAACCTGAAGACGACGGGGAAGGAATCTGTGACCTTTTCAGGGAGATTAACGTCGTTATCGAGGAGGAGGTCAACCCAGCTGGCATTCGCGATGTGGAACCAGGGGAGATGCTGCAGAATTGGACTTCTACGCCAATCCTGATGTCCCGAACTCTTGGGTAGAAAGGAATTATTTCATGCATAGTAAAATCGGTGGTTGTCCGGAAGAGGCCCGAGACCCATCATTTCTGCATTGTTCTTGATTTTGAATTTTGTTGTGATATTTGAAAAAAGCGACATGGCCCTGTGCCATGACCCAAGTTCGCATTTTGTTTGATTTAAATGAAAGCCTCCTTATTTCGACTTTGTTTATTAAATTGCTTGTTATATGTTACTTTTCTAATTTTGTCTGTTTATGATTTCAGTAACGTAAGTTACAAACCTGCCAATGTCATGTCATGTCATGAGCTAAACAAGCAAAACTAGGCAAATGACGATGAGGTTGACGACTACGAAGAAAGTGGGGAACCAGACCATGTTGCAGAAGAATTTTGACAGTTCGAGAATCTACATAAACCGAATCTAGAGGAGACCAAAACGGTGAATTTGGGAGATTCAGAATGTGTCAAAGAGGTTAAGATCAGCACCCACCTGAATGAGACTCAGAAGGAGAGCCTGGTTCGTCTGCTTTCCGAATATAGGGATGTGTTCGTTTGGGATGTCGTTGACATGCAAGGGTTGAGTACCGATGTCGTATCTCATAAGCTGCCTATCAACCCAGGGTTCGAACCGGTGAAATAAAAGACTCGGAAATTCAAGCCTGAATTGAGTTTAAAGATTAAGGAAGAAATCACCAAGCAGATAGAGTCTCGACTGGTAGAAGTAACGCAATACCCAACTTGGTTGGCCAATGTCGTTCCGGTCGCCAAGAAAGATGGAAAAATCAGGATTTGTGTCGACTACAGAGATCTCAACAAGGCTAGTCCAAAGGATAATTTTCCGTTGCCAAATATCCATATCCTGATTGACAACTGTGCCAAACATGAGATGCAGTCATTTGTGGATTGTTACGTGGGTTATCACCAAATTTTGATGGATGAAGAAGACGCAGAAAAAACGGCCTTCATCACACCTTGGGGGGTATATCACTATAGGGTAATGTCGTTCGGCCTCAAGAACGCCGATGCTACTTACATGAGAGCCATGATGACTATCTTTCACGACATGATTCACAAGGAAATTGAAGTGTACGTGGACGACGTCATAATCAAATCCCGCGAGAGTTAGGATCATTTGATGCACCTGAGGAAATTCTTTGAACGTTTGCGTCGTTACAACTTGATGCTAAGCCCCGCCAAATGTGCTTTTGGAGTCCCAGCTGGGAAGTTGTTGGGGTTTATAGTCAGCAGAAGAGGTATTGAGCTCGACCCTTCCAAGATTAAACTATATCAGCCGGTTTATAGCACAGTCAACAGTGGTATGTGAGCCCATTTTTAAGTTGCTGAAGAAAGATGCCTCGACTAAGTGGACTGAGGAGTGCCAGACCGCTTTCGACGCTATCAAAAGCTATTTGTCTAATCCACCAGTATTGGTTCCTCCGCGAGAAGGGAGTCCGTTGTTGCTATATTTGTCTGTTTCAGATAGTGCCTTTGGATGTGTACTTGGTCAACACGACGAGACAGGGAAGAAGGAAAGGGCTATCTACTACATAAGCAAGAAATTTACTCCGTACGAGTCTCGCTACACTTTGCTGGAGAGAACATATTGTGCTCTGACGTGGCTTGCCCAGAAGCTGAGACACTATTTGTCATCGTATACCACATATCTTATCTCCAGGATGGATCCATTGAAGTATGTTTTCCAGAAAGCGATGCCGACCGGAAGTTAGCTAAATGGCAAATGCTGTTAAGTGAGTTTGATATCGTGTACGTGACTCAGAAGGCAATAAAGGCACAAGCTTTGGCTGATCATCTTGCAGAAAATCCCGTTGACGAAGAATATGAACCTCTCAGGACATATTTTCACGATGAAGAAGTGTCATTTGTGGGTGAAGATATATCTGAAGCTTATCCAGGTTGGAGATTGTTCTTCGATGGAGCGGAGAATCACCAGGGTAGAGGTGTTGGAGCAGTCTTGGTATCAGAATCTGGTCAGCATTATCCTATGGCGGCTAAACTGCGCTTCAACTGCATAAACAACATGGCTGAATATGAAGCTTGTGTTCTTGGTTTAAAAATGGCCATCGACATGAATGTTTACGAGTTGCTGGTTATTGGAGATTCAGACCTTTTAATTCATCAGGTTCAAGGTGAATGGGCTGTGAAGAACCCGAAGATTGTACCTTACGTACAGTACGTGCAAAATCTGTGCAAAATCTGTGCAAAAGGTTCCGCAAGATCGATTTCAGACATACTCCTAGAATACAAAATGAGTTAGCTGATACTCTTGCCACCATCGCTTCAATGATCAAACATCCGGATACTGATTACATCGACCCGTTGGATATAGACTTGAAGGAACATCCAGTCCATTGTTCACATGTTGAATCAGAACCAGATGGTTTTCCTTGGTATTTCGACATAAAGAGGTATTTGGAGTCTGGGACATATCCAGTAGACGCTACATCTAATCAAAGGAAGTTGATACGTCGTATGGCTCTCAATTTCTTTCTGAATGGAGAAGTCCTGTATAGGAGGACTCCAGATTTGGGTCTTTTAAGATGTGTAGATGCGGCTGAAGCTGTAAGGCTTATTGAACAGATACATGCTGGAGTTTGTGGTATACACATGAACGGGCTTACTTTAGCAAGAAAATTTCTTCGAACGAGTTATTTCTGGATGACTATGGAGAATGACTGTTGCAAATTCGTGCAAAAATGCCACAAATGTCAAGTGCACGGCGATCTGATACGGGTGGCACCTCACGAACTTAATGCTATGAGTTCACCTTGGTCATTCGTAGCTTGGGGAATGGATGTCATCGGTCCTATAGAGCCAGCCGTTTCTAATGGGCACAGATTCATTTTGGTTGCCATTGATTATTTCACCAAGTGGGTGGAAGCAGCCTCTTACAAGTCAGTAACCAAGAAAGTGGTGGCCGATTTTGTCCGCAACAATCTGATATGCAGATTCGGAGTTCCAGAATCCATCATTACTGATAACGGTGTGAATCTCAATAGTCATCTGATGAAAGAAATATGTGAACAATTCAAGATTATTCACCGGAGGTCCACTGCTTATCGCCCTCAAATGAACGGAGCTGTAGAGGCCGCCAACAAGAATATCAAGAAGATTTTGAAGAAGATGATTGACAAACAGCGAGGTTGGCATGAAATGTTGCCATACACTCTACTAGGTTATCGAACGAAGGTCAGAACATCGGTTGGGGCTACTCCATACTTGCTAGTATACGGAACAGAAGCAGTCATACCTGTTGAAGTCGAGATACCGTCACTGAGGATCATCCAAGAAGCTGAGTTAAGCAACGCGGAGTGGGTTAGTAAGCGGACTGATCAACTAGCCTTGATTGATAAAAAGAGAATGGTCGCCGTCTGCCATGGCCAGTTGTATAGACAGAGAATGACTCGCGCTTTTCACAAAAGAGTAAGAGCCAGAAATTTTGAAGTTGGTCAGTTGGTTCTTAAGCGTATTTTTCCTCACCAAGACGAGCACAAAGGAATGTTCGCACCAAACTGGCAGGGTCCCTATATGGTTCGTAAAGTACTATCGGGTGGTGCTTTGGTCCTGTCCGAGATGGATGGCGCTGTATGGCCCAAGCCTATCAACTCAGATGCTATCAAGAGATACTACGCTTGAAGTTTCGTTTTGCATTTTTCTATCATTTACTTATAATCGTTCTCTTTGCTTGTATTTGTTCAATTTGAATTCTTATCCTCTTTGTAACGAACTACGTCTGACCTGAATTCTCGAGAACGAGATACGTAGGCGGCCTATATCGGCTTCGGTCACCCCATTTACCCTTTTAATCATTTCCTTGTATCTGAACTACGTTCCACCTGAATTCTCAAGAATGAGATACGTAGGCGGCCTTTGTCGGCCTCGGTCGGCTTCTTTGTAAATTTTATTCTTGTTAACCTTTAAGGGGGAACTGCGTTTGACCTGATTCCTGCCTCAATGGGATACGTAGGCGCCACAAGGGCTCGGTCATATCTCTCATAAGATTTCTATTCCCCTTTTACAGTAGAATAGGGACAGAATTTTTTAAGAGGGACTCAAAAAAAATTATCCAGAAGAAGTCTCCTCTTCAGCAAGTCAGACAAAAGACATTCGAATTTGCGACCGGGACAGAATTTTTGAGAAGATCTCAAAAATTCCGCGATTTGTTCGGTTACAATGGAAAGATGAGCAAGATAGTAAACTGGGACAGAAATTTTGAGGATGGCCTCAAAATTTCTTCATGGGTCTTCCCTACAAGTCCGGAATGCCTCTGAAATTCATTCGACAAGCGTTGGACTAAAAGGAGCTCGTTAAGCCTGACATGACATGACTTGGCAGTGACTTTTTCAAGATACTATTTCTTCAAAAATTTCTTGTTTCCCTTAAAAATTTCCTATATTTCATCTGTTTTGGCATAAGATATTTTCTTGTCTATCAAGAGTCGGGAAATCGAGAAATCAACCGGAGATATCAAGACAAGGAGAAAACAACCAAAGGGATCGACACAGATCAGTATGTTTAAAACTGACAATTTTTCTGTGGATGCAGGTTCACAGCTTCGCTTAGAAATCGGCCGAATTGTTCCGACAGATGAATACGGAGAAGGAGAAAACTATCTCCAAAACTAGTGATTTTATTGAAAGCAGGAATATCGTTTGTGTCAGGATGCTTATGAATGTGTTTGTTTATTTCAAACCATTCTTAACAATGGGAAATTTACAAAGTATCCAGCTAGATTCAAAGGTGAATCAAACAGGAATCTCAGCGAAGATTTCACGATTTCTATAGAAGACGCTATTTGCATTGCGTTATCAAAGCAAGATGATTATTGTCGATCAAGACCACACATTACCTCAGAAGAGACAATTATGCAATTATTATTTTATCATTATCGATCAAGTTGATATATTATTGGGAGATCATCTTACCGTTACTATCCACGGGGGCGATATAAATATTCATGCATCACGGAATTTATACACTGAAGAATCATGCATCGCGGAATCATGCATCACGGAATCATGCATAGCGGAATCATGCATTGCGGAAGTCATACATCGCAAAAATCATGCATCGCGAGTCATTAATTATGCA